TATATTTCTTTATTTTTAGTGTGTAAACAAAGACACCATAAGAAATGTGAAGGTAAACAGAATCTCTGTTCTGCTCCTCCTCCTGCTCACTGCCAAATATCCCTGCCCTCCCTTTCACCTGCCCTCCTTCTCCCTGTCTCTTCATCCCACCCCTGTCCTCCTCCTCGTCCTCCTCCTCCTCCTCTCCGCAGGCATGAAGATCATGTACATGCACGATGACACAGAAACCCTGAAGGACTTCGTGGCTCTGCAGCTGACAGATGGCGTCCACACAGTCCAGGGGACGGCTCAGGTCACAGTGCTGCCGGTCAACGACGAGAAACCACGACTGCTCAAGTACATGCACACACACACACACACACACACACACACACACACACACACACACACACACACACACACACACACACACACAGATGTGGATTTGTGAGAGATGATATGAGGATTTAGTGTTTAATTCTTTTTAATGTGACAGGAAGCGTGTGAGTGTGAGGTTTTAGGTCAGGGTCAGTGGAGGTTTTTAAAGGCCTTGACATGCAGCAGCACATGTTCATAGTCAGTATTTATGATATTGATATAATGTGACTGTTGATATATTAAGTGTTACTGGATAAAAAAAACATGTTTGATTGAATTTAAATTCTTAAAATTGAATTGAATTGTTTTGTGTTTGAACATTTGTCTTACTACATGAAGTTTTATTTATTTTTTTTGGTTCCTTATTTATGGTTAGCATTGAAATGTTCTCCGTTTAGCCACTTTTATAAACAAGTGCAGCTTGTTCACTAAAACAATAAAAGAAATTTAAAGCATAAGGTGAGATTCAAACCAACAAATGTCTCCTGTTAACAAGAGATATATCTGACTCCTCTGAGCTGTAGAGCTCCATTGTTTCAACAAACTATTAAAACACATCAGTGAGTCTCACTGTTACACTGAGTGTCCCTTCATCACCACGAACACACACATCGTCGTTTATTTGACTCAGTCCCACACACACAGTCCTGCTGCTCCAGACACTCCAAATATAGTCCCCAACAAATGGACGATTTTCCTCCTGTTTGTCTGATAGAAACTACAGTGAGCAGCTGTTTTCCACGGTGGCCAAGAGCTCAACACACTGCGACTAAAGAAAACACATGCAAACAGACAAAAACACAAAAACAAATTCAGAAAACATCTTCATCAATTTGACAGCACATGGGCTGCAAATACTCACAACACAACCAAATACACAAACGTGCTGCAAGTAGCGCAGATGACAATGGAAGTGTTTCCAGGAGACACTAAAAAGTGGTGAACCCTGCTGGGACACAGTTGCATGGACGTATTATAATATATATAATTATAATGAATCCATGGCACTTGTTTTTCGATGCTTTTATTTTCAAAAGTCACAAACCATTGAACTGCAAGTGTGTCCCTGCCGGTTCGTCTTTTTTGTGTCCCCTGGAAACACTTCCATTGTCGCCTGTGCTACTTTGATGAAGATGTGTGTTTTGTCTATCTGCATGTGTTTTCTTAAGTTGCAGTGCAATGAGCTCTCAGGGCCATTGTAGTTTTAGGAAATTAGAGAACTTTAAAAAAAAAAAAGAAAGAAAAAAAAAGAAACAATATATTTGTGTGGTCAGAGCTGAGAGCCACAGACAGAGGAGAGAAATCAAAAGAAGAAGGAGAGAAGTTAAACATGAGGAATTGTCTTTGAATGGCATCAAACTAATTAATTTGTAGTTTTGAATCATTCTGACAGAAACCAACAGGATTTAAATATAATTAGTAGAAGTGTCTGATGCTGCTGCTGTGAAATCCACAGCGGGGGGAGGGGGGGGGGTAACCTCTGTGGGCACATGTGGCCGGTCGCTTTGCTTGAATGGGTGTTTACAGAAGAAATATGTGACCCCCCTCCTCCACCCACATCCATCATATTTTCATTTGAACGAGTGATTGGGAATTTGCATCCTTGACTGGGTTCCCCATGCTGTCCCATCATCACCCCCTCCCACCACCACCACCCCCACCACGCTGTCCCCAGATCAGTGGTTGGTGTGCGTGGGTGGGTTGGCACAGGCCGAGCTGGTACTGTAAAGGGCACTGAGGCAGAAGTAACACAGAGACTTGGCAGATGCCGGCCTCCTTGTTTTTGCATTCCTGCAGGATGGACGTGGCAGCTCCTCTCCTGCGTGGATTTTAGTTCCGAGTGAGGAAGCAGCCAGACGGTTTCCCATGTTCACCCGCCCCCCAGCCCCAACACCACCACCAACACCACTCGCCAGATCTCCATGATCCCAATAGAGAACCTGCTCTCACACAAACTTTCCTCATGCTTGTATCTCAGTAAAAGTATCTGCAGCGTGTTTGTCACATCAAACTGTTCCTCTCAATCAAAAACCATTAAAGGATCCTTTTGCTTTACTTTAACTTGACTCTTATTTTTTAGTTTTGAGCAGATAAAATAAAGTCTGAACTGAAGCTCATGTTGCCTGAGTACCACAGCAGAAAAGAATCCAACTAATCTATCATCATCCCTCATCCTAATGAACATATAACCACTGTTTCTTCTTCGTTGGTGTCCCAGGAATGCTGGACTGGAGGTGGACTCTGGTGAGCTCAGGGTGATTTCCAGTGTGGCTCTGGAGGCTGAGGACATGGACACGCCCCCAATCCAGGTGTACTACTTCATCAACGCCGCACCACGATTCGGAAACCTGCAGCTCAAGGTGAGTGTGTGTGTGTGTGTGTTTGTGTGTAACATGTTCTTCTGAAGCTTTCAACCACATCCTGTGACCTTCCTCAGATGGAGCAAACTAAAAACGAAGTGTCATTTTCCTCACCCTCAGCTAACTGATAGAACCTGTTATCGCTTGTACTCGCTGTTGTGCCAGTTGTGAACTGTGCGTCTCGTCTGCAGACGGCGTCGGGCTGGACCGAGCTGTCGGCCGCTCAGAACTTCACCCAGGACGATGTGGAGATGAACCGCCTGTGGTACAAACACACCGCTGCCGCCAGCAACGCCAACGCCGCCAACTTCAAAGGTCACGACAGCTTCCGCTTCACCCTCAGCGACCTGGTCAACGAGTCTCCTGCTCAGAGCTTCTTCATCTCCGTCCACACTGTGCAGAAAGGTCAGACGTCATCTCCGTGGTTACAGACTAGCAGTGCAGTACACTGGATCCAGATGAGTTTTAACACACTTGGATTTACACTCAGTCGAATAGAAGCCATCTTGGTTTTTAGGGTCAGAGCTGCCAAGGTGACAGCAACTGCCGAAGAATGAGCTTTTGTTTTAACAGCAAACTGAACACAAACACATGAATGAGTCTACAACTACAACAGAGGCAGTTCTATCATCCACCTCACGCTGCTCCCTCAGCCACACAGACCAGTCAGTGGTTTAACTGACCTGGGATCAGATAAACGTCTTCTGTTTGATCCTCTGTGCTGAAGTCACTGGAGCCATTTTCCTCTGTGGCTTTAATCATTTAGGAAAATGACGACTGATGTCGTTTCATTAACTTCAGCTCCAGTTATTACAGATACAGACTCTGAGTTCCCCTGACAACTTCTCAACATCTGGCCAGAATAAGAATTTGGATTTCAGTCTGTCTTGTATGAATTTACTCTACAGCTGTTTTGAGATCAGATAGCTGTCTATTGTTCTATACTATTAGTACAGGAACACACAAAACCATGCCGTGGTCGAGCGAGGAGGAGCAGACGTTTCCTTCATATCGATGTCCTCCTTTGTTCATGTGCGCGTTGCGTTGAGGATGATGTCACGATAGCTTCGTGCACTGTCGGTATAATAACGACGCTGCATTGAGGGGAAACTATCTGCAGTGGAACCAAAATCTTGTCAAGTCGAGTGGAGCACTAATTGATGGTATAGTTGACTGGATAATGTCTTAGATTATGACTAAGAATATAATCTGAGATTTTAGTTTGTGAGAGAGGAGTTCAACAGTAACCTGTAATTTAGTTCTAATCATGTGGGATTTGAATAAATTTAGATTTACAGAATTCCCTCACTTTAAATCCAACTAAATATTTGTTCATCATTAATTTATTATCAGAAACTGTATTGGGTCCAGTGGAGCTTTCAGGTAAACGCTGACATGCTCACAACGACAATGCTAACATGCTAATGTTAATGTGATAACTTTTACCACTATCTCCATTTTAGTTTAGCGCATTAGCGTACTAATATTTGTTAATTAGCAGTGAAGTACTGCACTTAAAAGACTTTCAAAGTTTATTCTTGACCTGGCAACAGCAACAGAACAATCTGAGCTCCAGGTGGCGACATGGATGAGGAGGATGAGGAGGAAGAGGATGAGGTGCTCAGAATCTACATTTCCATGACAACAGAGCAGTCCATGATCAACATAAAGTGTTTGTCTGACCAAAGATGTCAATTTAAAAAGTCCTGAAACCTGAGATTGAAGTTACAAGGGTTTCCACATGGACAACATCAACAAACAAACACAACACACACACACACACACACACACACACATACACACACACACACATCACACAACACACTGACTCTGCACCTTCACACACCTCCGCCCTCTATGGTCCCGGTGGCTGGCCGTGGTTCATACATTATTGAGGTGCCCCCCCCCCCCCCCACCGCCCCCCCCACACCACACCACCCCTCCCCTGCCTCCCCCCAGCTCGCTGTGCCAGCTTTGTCAGTCGGGTGAACACGGTGTTGCGGGGCCTCGGACCTTCTGGCTCCGGGCCCTCTGATCCTGGAGGAGCGGAGGTGAGAAACGAGCGACCTCCTCAGCCTGTAAATAATTAACGGAGGAGGAGGTGGAGCAGCTGTGGAGGGGCGTTGGCTCGGCTCCTCTGGGTGCTCCTTGTCTCCTCTGGGTGCTTCACCTCCTCCTCCTTCTCCTCCAACAACAACGCCCCATAACACTGAGGCCCTTTGCTCTTTTTTCTATTTTTAGTTCAAGTTGAACTTAAATCATTTTGTTTGCATCAGTTCTTTTTTAATTTACACTTTTACCAGATGGAGACTTTAATCCAGAGTGATTTGTAGCCTGTAGTTCTGTTCTCACATCAGGGTTTGGGCTGTTTTGATGCTTCAGGCTAATGTCAGGTTTATTTTCAAAAGTAATTGATTTGAAATTTCTTTCGTTCTCTCCCTTTGCCAATCATCAGCATCAATGGACAGACAGTGTAAACACAGATCTGAGAACCTTATGAATCTGCTTCACAAACCTGCAGAGGCAAGAGGAAACAGGAGAGATGGTGGAGGGAAATAACAGACAGGGGAGGGGTGTCTGCTGAGGTCAGAGGTCAGGCAGAGGCTGAACTGTGCGGTCGGTACATTGGCTGTTTCAAGCCCTCACGAAAAATTTGAATAACACAAGGTGAAACTTAACTTTGTGTGTCTGAACACACCTTCAGCATGTGTTATACTGGAGCTTCTTCCCATCTCCAACAAATCAGTTATATATACCTTATAGAAAACCAATTGGTTATAAAGATACTGCAGTTAAATACACAGCTCTGCTCTGGATTCACTCTGAGCTGGACAGATGTTTAGTGGCTGTGTTCATCAGGCTAATGTTGGTATGGGCGAACACGTAAGGCGGAGGGATGGTGTCACATGTTGTCAGCTGTAACTGTGTTGTGTTGTTGCCTCCAAACATGAGCAGAATAAGTTGTATCATAAAGAGTAACGTCATGACAGATACGTTATTTTTGGTTGGACCACATCAGGAAATGTCATGACTGACTGGCTGAGTGTTAAAGCTATACCATTGGTTGGTCAGCCATGTGTTTAAGTTTCCTCATTGGCTGTTTCTCTTTTCCAAATGATTTGGTACAAACAATTTATATTACCTCATCAGGCGGCGTTTACTTACTCACCTTTGTCACTAGATTTACCGACTTTTCAGACCATTTATTTAAAAAAAAACAAAAAACAACTAAAGACAAATCTTCTGGACAAACCTTAACTTCTTATTCTATCCAATAAATTCACTATTATTATTATACATTATTTTGAAAACTAAAAACTAAGATTAGAAGCCTTGCAGCAGCTGTTCGGAGCTCCCTGCTTCATCCCTTCAGGCACCATAGAGTTTCCCTCTTCTCACTGATGCTTTGACCTTTTCTCCCTTCAGGTGACATAGTGCTGCTGAGCAAGGCAGTGCATCTGAGGGAGGGGCAGCGGGTCGTCCTGAACACCGACATCCTGCTGGCGTCAGACTCGGCGGCTCATCCGGAGGAGCTGATCTACACGGTGTCGGTCCTGCCTCGACACGGACTCATCCATGGCGTCCAGCGGCCCGGAGTCCCACTGACTAGCTTCACACAGCTGGACGTCGCTGCACACCGAGTGTGTTACACCCACGACAACAGCCACGAGGCTGAGTCCGACTCCTTCAGGTGAGAACACACAGCTGTCTGTAAAAGTAAGAAATAAAAACAACCTCTGCAGCAAACAGACAAATGTTAAAGATCTGTCACTTTTTATTTCATCAATTTAAAACACAGAAAATCATTTAACAGTAATTGTGACATGTGCAAAAGTTTGGACACCCCACTGGGTCAGCTGATAAGATTTAATCATCAGTTTTAATATTTCTATATTAAATTGAATAAAAAATATCTGTCTAGAATATTATTATATTTATATTTATTTGGAATAATTTCACCTCCAGAGTGAAGGACAGAGTCTTCAGGATAATAGATTATAATGAGTATATTATTGTATAATTTTAATATTGACAGTTATTACTTAACATTTAAATCCAGTTATTTGGAATAAACTACAAAGAACTGAAAGACACACATGACTTTAAAAATAGACATTGACAGTGGACATTTTAGGCACTGAATGGGGAAAATGCAACTGTTTTAATTCATTATCTAAATTCATGAAATTGTATATTTTAATATGTTTCAAAGTTGTTTATCCCGTCTTTCTTTCCTTTATTTCCCTCAGTGTGTCATGTCTGTGTTGGTCTGTGTAACGATAAGAGAACTTTATTCATTCAGGAGGACGTTTTGAAGATGTTCAGTATCCATGATGCAGTGTTAAAAATAAAAATAAAATTAGAGTAAAATAAATAAAGGGAGTTCAATTAACAAATGCAGGAATTGAATAGTAATAATTGCGCTGCCATTTTGGCCACATCACAAAGGACCATCTGGTTAAATAAAGTCAGTCATAAAGAGGTAAAAGTGATAGTAAAAATAATATAATTAGTCCTAGTGTTTTAAACACATATTAAAACTGTTGCTGTTGATACTGAGCAGCTGTGTGTTTCACTCTGACCCTCTCAGTCAAGTGAAGCTATTTTGCAGCACAGCATGAAATTCCGCAAACATCAGGAGAATAAATGGCAAATTATCTGCCTACACATTGTGAGAGGAGGATATTTCTGTCAGCACCGCGCCCCCCAAAAAACTATCACACACAACATTTGGCCGAGGAAAGAAAACTGGGCACCGAGACGAGAGAGAGGGGAAAAAAACATCAGCATCAGGAGACGAAAGCTTTTCTTTGCTGCAGTATGTTTATCTGCTTTTCCAGCCAATTTGGCATCAGCAGGGTTTTTTAAGGGGGAAGAAGGGAGGAGGGAGGGAGGGGAGAGGGGAGGGGGGGGGGGGGTTTGGTGTGTGACCTGGGGTGTGTGCAGACCCTGGGTTTGTCACCCAGACCTCTTATGCCCCAACCGGCTGGCTATCTGGCACTGAAAGACCGGTCAGATCACAGCCAAGATGGAGAGACTGAGAGACAGAGAGAGAGAGAGACAGACAGAAAGACAGTCTGTCAAGCCCCTTTTCCACTGGTCAAGAAACCCACTAAGACTCGCTAACATCAGGCTTTTGTCAGCAATGGTTCAATCAGCATTGACAACCGGGTCACATGATTGTAGTAGACACGGCTCCGAGCAGCAGTGATGTAAACACAACACCCAGGTGAACACGCTAATTTCATCCCTTTTCCTGCTGTGACGTCTTTCAGATCACAGACTCTGTAAACACACCTGTCACCTGTCCAGCACAGTGCTGTTAAAACCGGAAACGCCGTGGCTACACTGCGCTCAGGGATGAAAGAGTGAACGCAGCTCCAAAATAAGTTTGAAAAACACGCAATCAGTGATCAAAGAGTCTCACACGGAGGCTCCGCAACTGACAGCAGGATGAGACGTGACAGACCTGTTTTATCAGTTTGCACAGCGGCTAGCAGCTCACTGGTTCTCCTCTGCTTCTGTGTGTGTCCCCGGTAAGTGCATGTGATGACATCACTCCTTGCAGTTGTGTGTACCCTCAGTCTGAACATGTCACTCAACTGGCAGTGGAAAAGGGGTCAATCAGCTTTTATTAGCAGGTTTACCCGTGCTTATACTCGGGGTATCAGAGAGACGAGTGTAAAAAATGTAAAGACATTTGAAGATGTCGCCTTGAGCTGTGGGAAATTATAACGGATATTTATTGACAAATCGATTGATCGTTAATGGAGAAAATGATTCACATTAAACAATAACGAAAATAATAGATATTTGCAGACCTTAACTGATCACTTCCTCTGGGTCTATTTACTTTTCTTTTTGGGGCGTCTGGTCAGAGGTGGAGCCTCCGAGCTCCGGTGCAAATGATGACATCGTTTCATGCGTCATGTGATCAGAGCTAGAGCTGAGGGTGTGTCTGAGCTTGTTGTGAGTGAACAGAGGATTAGTGTGTGTGTTGTATTATGTTATGACGACTCAGGTGTGTCCACATCTGAATAGCACACACAGCAGTGTTTGTGTGTGTGTGTGTGTGTGTGTGTGTGTGTGTGTGTGTGTGTGTGTGTGTGTGTGTGTGTGTGTGTGTGTGTGTGTGTGTGTGTGTGTGTGTGCGTGCATGACAGCTGATGATGAATGGTTATTATTAGGAGAATAACATACAGCGTTGGCACGTTATCGGCCAGAGCGCTGGCCACAGACGGCCGTCCCTGGGCAAATATGGCCGACACCGGAGCCAGATGTTACACCAGGACCTGCCTCTGAGTGTGTGTGTGTGTGTGTGTGGGGTGGCCGGTGTTCTGAGGCCCGGGGCAGTTTGTCAGCTGCAGGGCTGCAGGGCTGAGAGGCAGATTGTGTTGGCAGAGGACTGAGAGGACGATAAAATACACACATGTACACACACAGCTCGTTTTCAGCTCCAATGCACTGTCAATTGTCACCATAGTGTGTGTGTGTGTGTGTGTGCGTGCGTGCGTGCGTGCGTGCGTGCGTGCGTGCGTGCGTGCGTGCGTGCGTGCGTATGTGTGTGTTGACGATCTGGTGAACACACACTAACGTTCACCAAAGCCTCAGATGGAACCAGGTCTTCATGTGAGTGATTGATGACTGAAGCTGTTGTCAGTGTTACTCAAGGGAAAGTCCTGAGATTTAATTAACTGAACTACACATGCAGATTATATTTACCAGCCACAACAGTGGGGCTGGTACTGTTTATTATTTCACCTAAACAATGAATGGTGATATCCTTGCTTTTATTCTCCAGAATTGGTCAATCTCTAAAAACTCTCAATCCTACATTTCCCACAATGCAAATGGATAGTGTCTTTGTAGTTGATTAAAGGCCCTTTGTAGTTGTAGTTCTAAATGTCAATAATTTAATGTACTATATAGACTTAAAGAGTTGTACAAAACTCAGATCAGTTTCTCACTAAATTTTGTCTTCACAGTTTCATCGTCACCAACAGCGTCTCATCCCGCAGCGGCACCCTCCACTTCACCATCGAACACGGTGACCGCATCCCCCCTACCCTCAACCACAACACCGGCCTGCGGCTGCAGGACGGGGCCACAGAGACCATCACCTCTGAGCAGCTGCAGCTCACCGACCCTGACACCGCCGCAGCCAACCTGAGCTTCATCATCACAGAGCCGCCACGCTACGGAAAACTGCTGCTGAGAGGAGTCCCACTGACACCTCCGCTGAGATTCATCCAAACCGACGTGGACGAGCTCAACCTGGCTTACCGACACAACCCGGGCAGCCCAGCGGATATCGACAGGTTCTACTTCCTGCCGACTGATGGGAGCAACAGAGGATACCTGGAATTTGGACAGCTGAGAGAAGAGCCTGCTGTGTTTAACATACAGGTGAGCTGCACACACACACACACAACACACATCAAACAGTTGTATAGGAACAAGTCTAGTGTGTACAGAGACTTCAAACTGTGTCCTGAGCTGGTGAAAGTTTTCTTATTGTTTACAAATCCCATAAAAAGAGTCTCTCCTGATGACAGGTTGAGTTCTGTCAGACCAGGCTGCATTTTTCCAGTCTTCAGCCGTCCTGTGTCCAAATCTCAAAAATGTTGGCGGCCCACATCCGACCCCGTAACAGTATGGAGGCTAAATAATTTTCAGAGCTGACCATTCAGGACTGAACTGAAAGCAAGAGAAGCTCAACCTCTCTTTTTGTTTGACGGGGAGAGATCACTTTCACCATCTGTCTCTTGACTCTCTTTCATTTTAAGTCCTCCTGTTGCTAATCAGCTATCCATTTTGATTCTCCAGTTTTTGGATGTGATCTTTTTAATCAGACTGAGAAAGCAGCAAATATATGACGTGGCCTGGGCAACAGCAATATAAAAGTTCCTATCATCGGCTTATCACAGTGATGGGTATTAAAAGGAGAAAAAAAACAATCAAAGGAGTTTTAAACATTTTTCGTTTTTTTGAAATATTTAAAAACATTATTTATATTTTTGTTTTTTATAATTACATCCTTACACCAAAATTGTTGTTTTGCAAATTATTTGACAGCCCACTTGTAATACCTTCGTGGACCACCAGATGGCCCTTTCCACAGGTTGGGAACCACTGCTCCTAGAGACTGTCCTGTGTGAAAATCCAGGAGATCAGCAGTTTCAGAAACACTAAAAACAGCTGTCTGACACCAACAATCATCAGTCACTGAGATCATATTTTTCCTCATTCTGATTTAGCACTGGTTCCACATGATTGGCTGATTGGACAATCGCGTGAGTAAGCGGGTGCATAGGTGACCTGCGAGAAAGAATTGTTGGATGTGATGGATTCACAGAGGCGTACTTGTAGGAGCCGGAGAATTCAGGATGTAAACTCTGTAATTAAAGGGACTTTAACCTGTGAGCGATACTGCACGAGCTGCAAAACAGGAGAGACCACAACAAACTGTGTCACACACCCAAACTTGTGAGGACACCTGAGGCCCAGAGTGTCGGATGAAATACACTGACATCATAACACAGGTAAAATTGAGTAATTTAGTGGTCTGGACTTTCCCACAACCAGCTACAGAGCAGTACATTCTCTAATGCTAACTTTGTAGAAAATCAACAGCCTCATCCCTCAAGAAAAAAATCTGGCCAGCAAACTGAAATGTCACCTTCTCCACCTCTCCCTGTTCGCTTAAGCAAGCCCAGCAAAAGCTACAAGTAGCATTAGCTAGCTAGCTTTCCTCCCAGAAAGTGATTTAGAAATGATCGACGCCTGTTGGTGACTTTGCTTCCGCTGACTGTGATGATCACTTATTAGTGTTATTATACCAAGTGTAGGCCCAGGAATCAGATTTAATTATCCACATGACGGATCCAGACAGATCTTGAGACAGGGCCTGAGAGTGTGAAGCAGCCAGAGTCCAGGAGCTGAATCTGCAGGTTTAGAGCTTCCTGAAGAACAGTGTCGTGTCAGTGAGGCTGCTGTCGACTCCGTACTACACAGATAAATATTTGAAGAAGAGAACAGCAGGTGAGCCAAGACATATCCCCCCTCACATGTTACCTGTTCACACACACACACACACACACACACACACACACACACACACACACACAACCAGCCAGGTGGCTAATACACTGGCTGGACCAACTGTCCTGAGCCTCTGAGAGACTGGAGACTGTTTGTGATGGGATGGTGTGTTTTGGTAAAGTGTGTGTGTGTGTGTGTGTGTGTGTGTGTACATGATATGCACAGTATGTAATATTTTGCTGTGTGTGTGAGTATTCAAAGGCTTCATGAATATTTAACACACACACACAGACATGGCTGTATTTCCTCCCTCTAACACTCAAATAAAAAAAATGTCATTATTGACAAACTAAAACTGAAGGTTGAGCTTCAGGTGATGATTTTAGTCAGAGCTGAAAGTACTTTTTATTTAAATATATTTTTTTAATTAATCTGTTGTATTGTATGTATGGTTATGCAGCTGTTCTTATGCAATTATTTTCAGTATCAGTCATTCTGTTGATTATTTTTTATAGTATATCATTTTATCATTTATCATTTATCATTTATCATTTTATTTTATTTATTGAATCTGACAGTGTTTCTATTTTATGTTTTATCAATAGCTTCAAAATCAAAATAGCTGCTGATCAATGTCTACATTTTACTAATGGTTTCAGAACCAGTTTGATTAGACATAATCAAGAGATCAGAAATGAACCTGAATCAACAAAATCATCTCTGAAAATAAGTTAAAAATGAACAAAAATTTAAACAAAGATGAAAGTACATCAAATCAAAAACTGCTGAGAATCATCTTAACCCAAGGAAAGAGGAAGGAAACAGAAAAGTTTAAATATCAGCATGAGTCTGATTATCATGTGACAGCAGCGACATCCAGTGGCAGGAAGGCTGAACTGCAGTTTCTGCTGTTGGATTCTGAGTGAGAGGATTATTTATTGACAAACAGCTCTCTCTTCTCCTGTCTTCAGTCTTTCTCTATATGTGTCAGGAGGTCGAGAAAATAACAGGAAGTATAGAGAAATATGTTTTTTTATCTACTACATATATCTGACTTACTAACTTACTAACTTGATTGATCTCATGTCTATGAAATGCAACATTGCATTGTTAAAAATAGTGTGTGTGTATCAAGGACATTTTGTTTTTCATTGTGCATGTTTTTGAGGCTTTTTGAGGTTTTACTCTCATCCTCAAATGAAATATTGCAAGGTAAATATACATTATACAGATCCTATCAGAGTCTACATGCTAGCAGCTCTGTGAAGCTTTCTGCCGTTGAATTTCATGTCAGTCTATCCTGTATCTGTCAAGATATTATTTTAAATGACTGAACGAAATACACACCTACCATGGCTAAAAATGATTAACCCGGATACACACCAGAAAGTCGTCTCCTGTTTCTTGCTGCCAATACTTAACTTTCTGCTAAATTTAATTGAAATACAGTATATTAAGATTTTTTAAATATTGTGCTTACAAACCAGCAAACAGGACTGAAAACAGTATCTCTGTAGTGTAGGTAATTATCTCTATAAGTCATTGTATAATTGAATTGAAACAACTTATCTTACTTAGCTTCTTTTGAGAGATTTCTTATTGATTGTTTTTATGTCTTTATGTTTAAATTATAGTGTTTTTCCACCTTAATATTGCTGGTCTTGTAGTACTACACTCTTCTATACACCATATATCATGTATCTCTCTACGTAATCCCCCAAACAAAATTCACTTTGTTCAAACACTAGGATTCTTCACGCAGACTCTCAGACCTCTGATCCTCGTGTTGTGTTCAGGTGGATCGGGTGGACAGGGCGCCTCCCAGTCTGACCACCAGACGTAGTCCCAGCACGGTGGTGGATCTGAGCGGCGGGCGTTACGGCATCTTCATCACCAACAAACACCTGCAGGCCTCGGACCCCGACAGCCCCACAGAGGAGCTGGAGTTCTCCATCAGCAGACCTCCACACTTCGGCTACCTGGAGAACGCTCTCACAGGTGAGCTGGCTGCTCTGGTCAATAGTTTAAAGCTCCAGTAATCCAGTCTTCTCAAACCTTTATTGGGTGCACATTTAAAAATTAAAATCTGCTTTGTAGCTGTGGACCTGGTTGTTACTTTTGTCGTTGGTTTCTGCAAAAATTCCCTCCCTCACATTTTCGAATCCCCTCCTTTCTTTGTCAGATTGTAGTCTTAGCCATTCTACAGTTCAATTTTATTAGAAAGAGGCAACTTAAGCCAGTCCAGGGCCAGAGGAGGTTTGTGTTCGTAGAGTGAATGGGTCAGAGTTGTGTATCGTTGTCTGTCGTCTCGTCCTACCAGGAGCCTACATCAAAGGTCGTTTCACCCAGCGGGATGTGGACCAGCGGGCTGTGGTGTTCGTCCTCCCGGCCGACATGGAGGTAACGGCCGACAGCTTCCAGTTCCGCCTCACGGACCCAGCAGGGAACACCATGCTGCCTGAAATGTAGGTGTAGTTTTACTTGGTCTTATATCACTGTTAATTACTAAATGAATTACTAAGACTCAAGACCGACCTCTGATCCAGTGTCATCAATGGTGCAGATAGTTCCTGTTTTGATCTCTGTCTCTGAGAGTTCTACCGTCATCCCAGTACAATGCAGGTGAATTCTCCTGGTTACAACTTTGAAATATAACACACAAATAGTAACAACAAAATTCAAGAGCAAATATCTGTATAAGGATGGATAGCGCAGAGTTATAAGGAGCATCTTTTTTCAATGATTTCTTTGCAGATTCAAGGAAGTATATTCATGATGGACATTGGATATAATGGTGTCCTCAGGGAGTTTAACTCACGTTGAATTAAAAATATGTGTTTTACGTCAGTGTGTTTGGATTTGACCGAGTTATGACCCAGAGAAGGAGGGTGTTTTTTGGCATTTTGCCCTTTTATGTGATGGTTGACAGTTTGGAGAGAGACAGGACACAAGGGGCAGAGAGACGGGTATGATATGCAGTGAGACTCCCCCGGCCGGGAATCGAACTGTGGGGTCATGTATCTTTACAAGTACAGTGGGTGTGTATGTGGTGTACAGTATATGAAGGATTCAGCCGAGTGTCTCCTGCAGCCTGGAGCTGTCCTGGTCTCGGCTGGAGTTGTCGGCGACCTGCTATAGAACCTGTGAGACAGCAGGGACTCTTCAGATCCAGATCCAGCGCAGCGGGAAGAGCGTTGACCCGGCCTACGTTGCTATCCAGGTAAGATTACTGTCTGTCTGAGGAGTGTTAAGTTTTAAACAGTGCTGTTAATGAATGATGTGATCATCGTTAAGTTAATGAGTCAGTGCTCAGTATTGGTTAATGGCCTCGTTTGTGCAGGTGGAGGAAGGATCGGCCAAACACGGCAGAGATTTCACTCACAGCACAGCCGGCCTCGTCCAGTTTGACCCAGGTCTGACTCTACTGGACTCTACTCTGCTTTATTTAACACAAACACTGCCAGCTGACTGTCATTTAAACACTGATGTTTGAATCATCATCGGCTGGACTCATTCAGAAAATCTGAATCGAGTGACGTCTGGATTTTGGATCACTTCAGCAGCTCTGGTGAATGTGATGTCACAACTCTTGCTGTTAATGAATCAGGATGACCATGGTGATTTTCTTCATCCTATTTTATTCCAGGAGTCAGTGTGAAAACCTGGAACATTTACCTGGTCGACGACGGTCTGGAGGAAAACCACGAGACCTTTACTGTCACCCTGAAAAACCCGCAGAACGCCGTCCTGGGACAGAGGAGCTCTGCTAGTGTCGAGATCATTGACCCCAGAGGAGGTAAAAAAAACTATAGTAATAGTCATAATCATCAGTCAGCTGTGTGTCAGTTATGGACTGTAGAGTTGGCTGTTTAACCACTTAACATAGTGCAATATATTAGTAATATAGCAGATGAATATATAATAAATGCCTAAAATGAACAATAAACTTTTCCACCTCAGCAAAGCATAACAAATCTTTTCCACTGAGGTTTTTTATGCACAGATTGAATTTGTGAAGAAATTTATTCTGAACAAGGTGAAAAATCCAGCTGTGTTTTTGGTCACAGGTTTGCAGCTCATGCTATTCTTCAAATAAATAATTCGCATACCTTAACAGTGACGTATAAATGCAACCTTTTCCTTTCTTCATAAGTTTATAAACTGAAGAAGAAGGAGGCTTCAGGGGGAAAAATCTGGGATAAAAGGGGAAATTTATTTTTACTTAGTTATGAACAAAAATTTAAGTATTCAATAAAAAATATATATATTGAAAAAAGATCAATACACCCACACAATGAAAACTTATAATAATAATACATTATATATAATAATACATTTGGTGCTGTGGAGATAATTTTCAGATTTTGCATCCAGCACCTTTTTGTTTTGTGGTAGTTGCATATTAGACAAAATCAAACTGTGCCCTCACTGCTGTCTGTCAGGAAGGTGCGACCCTGACGACCTGGTGGAGGGGGACGTGAAGCAGCTTCCCCCACCTCCTCGCCTCCCTGATCCTCCCAGGCCGGAGGAGGAGGAGGACCCCGTCACCGACATCGAGGCAGAGCTTCTGTGGGAGACACAGCCTCACCCTCCCAGAGGGGACGTCCCCAACCGCCAGCCGTACCTGGACTACGGAGAGGGGGACCCACAGGACCAGGCGGCCCCCAGCTACAGCCACATCCACTACCACAGCAGGCAGCTGCCCGGGACAGGCACTGGGAGCACTGGGAGCACTGGGAGCACTGGGAGCACTGGACACAGAGTCAGACAAGGAGGACTAAAGGTTGGTGTTTCCTCCCGTTATAGCAGCTGGAAAAATCCCTGTCTGACCTGTTGTGAGTAATTAAAACCCTTTTTCACAGTCTTACTTCCTGTCTTGTCGTCTGACGGCTCCTGATTGGTTCAACCATCAGTTAGTAAGTTAGGATTCATTAGCACACAGGGATGAAACAGAGAAACAGAAGTTATTTAAAATAGTAAATGTTTCATAAACTGTCAGATTTCATACAGGAAACACAATAAAATATAGACCTCAGTGTATCAGCATGTGACAGTTTTCATGTATTTATTAACTGGTCACCATCAAAAGATGCTTTAAAAGTTAATTATCGTTGTGTTCTTCCAAAACACTGGAGCGGTACATGGTGTGTTACCTGCAGCAGCTGACTGACTGTGAGCAGGTGTCAGTGACTTAACACTGATTGTGTTTAGACTGTTTTACACTTGAGAGCTTCTCTTTTTACAGAACAAAACAACCAACAAACAGGTTTATCTTCCTCACAGTAAGTTACTGAAAGAAGCAGCAGCAACAGGAGGTAATGTGAGGTGTACAGATGCAGACGCCAGTCAGACTGCAGGGCTGAAACACAAGTAAAACTATTTCCAGTGATTTATTACTTCTTTGTTTATCCCTGAAACCGTCACACCACCGGTTTTAAACCATTTTCCAAAGTGGGGCAACAGTGTTCAAAGCCCCACTCAACTTTAGCAGTTTAGTGTACATGCTGAATTGTTTAAATCTACTGTACTAAGTGCACATTTTATATTTTATGTATTTTATATTTTACTAATTGTTCTGTCAAGTGTCCCGAGTGTCTGAACCTTGTGCTCATGTTCAGGTTCATCTGTCAGGAGAGAGGAAGTCTGAAGAGAAAGTCTGGACGGTAAGATTCACAGTCAGTTTCTCCAGAGCTACATAAGAACACAGACACACACTGTGTTAATGTCCTCCTCCTCCTCCTCCTCCTCCTCTTCCTCCTCCTCCTCCTCCTCCTCCTCCCCCTCCTCCCCCTCCTCCAGTTCCACAGTCTGACTCCTCTCCGGCTGGAGGAGCTGAAGCTGGGTGATGCCGGGTGGAGCTGGTCGCCTCACGGTCGCCTCCTGCAGGAGCTCCGAGTCGGAGACGCTCCTCAGATGGATCACCCAGTACCCAGACACCACCCAGAGCTACGCCAGCACAAGGCACGCGCACACACACACACACACACACACACACACACACACACACACACACACACACACACACGGCTTAAACGGCTGTTAAAAAAATTAAACACAACCTGTGAGTAAAAATGAAGTTAGTTAAGTTTCTTTTATTTAGGAAGACTCGTGACCTCTTCTGGAACAGAGACCTGAGAACATTTACGAGACTATTCAGTCAGACACCAATTAAAACCGTCACAGACATTATTCAAAATACCAGACAGTAGAAATGAGGAGCTTCAGTTGTTCATCAGCCACAAAAGGAGACAGAGGAAGAAGAAGAGGTTCAACTGATTTCCTCTCGCTCAGTCAGTTCAGTGTGAACAGAAACCTCAGTGTGTGTTTGTTTTTTGGATAAAAACACTACATAAATCCACCCTGTTCACTCATATATGGATTGATCAGCTGGTTGTCCTGCACTCACTCACATTTCAGTTCATGGTATAAACTCCTGAGTGTCTCTCTGATGTGTCTCCTCAGACGGGGAAGTCGGTCAGCAGCTCATGTCCTGACGGCTGGACTCACTACAGGAGACGTTGTTACATCCTCAGCTCGTCTGTGGCCAGCTGGGCCAGTGCTGAGAGAACCTGCTCACTGCTGTAAACACCCACACACACACACTTTTATCTGTGCTATTTTTGTTTTATTTTGACCTCATAACCTAACCTTAAAGGCTAACCTGAGGTTAGCAGTAATGAAAATTTAAAATGTATTCATTTTTATTGATCATTTTTCACACAATAATGAAGAATTATTATTAAATTATTCTTCTTTTACAAGGATTTCGTCATAAATGTAAGGAGAACCTGAATGACACAAGTTGATAAAACTAGTTTTGAATTTGTTTTAGTTTAGGTGCACGTGTATAAGTTTCACTTTACTTTAGGTTACTTTACTTTGTATGTTTGCACACACCTTTTAACTCTGATGCTAGCATTTGTTCCTCACACACTGTCAGGTTTAACAGCAGCCTGACCAGCGTGCGGTCCAGGAGAGACATGACCTGGCTGTGGAAGTTTGCAGGGAAGAAGCCATTTTGGATCGGTGAGTGACTTCTTTCATCACAGATCGCTCAGACGCCTGTTCTGATATTTTCAGATTCTCTACGACCACTGATAGTGATAAACTCTTATCTTTTTCTTTACTTCCTTGGTAACACTTCTGTGGATGAAACTTTCCCACAAGGAGGGGGGCAGGTAGTATTATAGGCTAGTTTTAGGGGTGTGGATTATACTCACAAACAGGAACACCACCTCATGAGCATGTGGTCTTCATCAAGCTAAAACGACCAATTTATGTCCAGCCTTGTTTCGTTAGGAGAGTTCGGTTAATCCAACCAAACCTTAAAGCAAATATCATCAGTCAGTAGTGTCCAATTTCCAGTCAGCTGACTCTTCTGTGTTCCTCAGGGCTGTCTGGAGGTCCAGGTCGCTGGATGTGGGCTGACGGTCGGGCGGTGTCCTTCTCCAGACTGAGGGGGGCGCCGCCGGTCCGCAGCGGGTCCGGCGACGGCTCAGACTGCGTGCTGGTTGAAAACCCCAGAAGCTGGATTTCCACGAGCTGCTCCACCGAAACTCAACACACATTCATCTGTTCATCGCCGGCTCACACTCACTGAGAGACTCATATTCACTGCTATCAGCCCCGTCATAACCCGTGACCCCTGTGAACTCTTCTTCAAATCATATTTAATGTTACGCAATGATGCTGCTCTGTACATTAGTTTTCATATTTTTGTCATAATAAAGATTGCTGCGCAAACCAAAATAAGGGTCTATACATTTAATTGTACATCAATTTTCCTGTTTTCTGTTTCAAATTTAGTTTTCTGCATGAAACAGATGTAGATAGATCCCAACTACACACCTTCTCTTGTTAAATAAGTCAGTCCAGAGTTTATATACTGTAACAGAGTGAAGCCTCTGATACCTGAAAAGACGGGTTTTTAAAGACCCATCAGTAACATTGTTCTGTGTTTTTTCCAAAGTTATTTAAATTTTCATATTATCATATATGGCAAATTATTTTATCTTTTTAAATTAATTTAAATGTTTTAAAAAACCCTTCTCTCAGTGAAAGGATCATAACCCTAACACTCCAAGACAGAATAATATGCAGGGTTTCAATCTGTAGAAATATGTTTATTTAGATCATTTAATTCAGCTGAGCAGAAATGGCTGGAGAAGCTGGGACTATTTAGTTAACTCCTAAAATGTCTTTTTTCCAGCTGGAAACTTTTCTGGAGTTGGGAAACTTGAAGCTGACACTCAGGTATGAAGGTATTTTTGGTGCAAAATGTAAAGCCTACAGACTGTATATAAAACAAATAAACATTGCCATTTTAAGTCAAAGTTGCTGGGAGCTAAATTCCAGTCTGCAGACAATTTTGTCCTCGTCAAGCTTGTAGTGCCTGCCAGGTAAATAAAATCCAGTATTCACTGCTGATAAGTGCACAGGTGAGTACAAAGTATTAATCTTAGATCTAATTGACTGACTAGTGTATCAGCTTACTTCAGTTAAATCGGTATTGGCATATACAGTATGTCGACCCTTAAGTATCAAGAAATTAAACTACAAAAATGCCAAACTAGGTTTAAGATGATTTCGAAAGTGTCACCACTACTAAGTTTTCCCATCACTGAGAAGTTGATTTTTTTATTGTAAAATGTTCAGCTTAGTATGTATCTTGGTCGCAGTTCTTTAGGAAAAAATGAATCTAAGGCATTCATATCAAGACTGTTAAAAAAAACTTTCAGCCAATATGTCAGTACTGGATTTTTCAAACTCTCAGCTCTGTGAGGCTGTGTGTACTCTGCTAAAACTGAGTAACTATGAAAAAAATGAAAATGGATCAAATGTTTACATAAAAACAGAATTCATAAAACAGATGATTTAAGGATTTTAAAGGTTTTTAATGATTTCAGGACTTGGACAAGTCACAAATTCACATTTACACACCAAGGCTGTTGTAAAGTGTCACAGATTCTCATACTCCAAGTTTCTACCCAGTCAATGTTGCAACTATAACTAAAACTACTAACAGTTAATAGAAGAGCTTTTATTCCAGATTTACTATTACATATAACTGATTTACAGCTGATAAAGCATTTACTACTTTCACATCTTTAAAGGTAACATGATGTCCATATACTGTACATCAATCACATTTCTCAAACAAGAACAGAAGTTACTCATTCCATGTTTCGTAACATCTCCTCGTCTTTATTCAGTAATTGTAATTGGACTGGTTTCATCAACCATAACTAACTATTATCCATTGTCCTGTGCATCACTGGTTGCTTCCTCCCAAGGACTAAAAATGGAAATCAACTTTTAACTATATCTGGTGCAATAAAAGTGTTAGCGAGCACCTTGATCTCCTTCTTTCTTTTTTCTCGTCTTTTGGAAAACGAGAAAGTATTATTAAGTATTATATTTTCACTTGCAGATCAATCAAAAGAAGACTGCAGCACACAACAATGAAAATAAAAACCAAAAAGTGCTAAAGAAATGTAAGACAAAAAAATGAAGTAACAAAAATAACATAAAAACATGTGCATACCACTTGTGCTCCAGGAATGAAATTTACCTCTGCTATCTGTCTTGCTTTCCATTTGTTTTAGCTATATCTAATTCGACACTTACATTTTGTATTTTCATTTGTACATAAATACATAAGGGACTGCCTGGTGAACATGTTATTGTCGCTGCTGTTAGTGACACATCTACAACAGAAAATCATAAAAAAATAACAAAAAAATGTAAGAAAGCATTTTTTTAAATAGATCAAATTTATGTAGACAGAATATAAAAAAATATATACAGCTAGTGCTACAGGTTTGCCATGTACTTCCGCAACCTGTCTTGTTTTTCATTTGCTTGTTTTAGCTATTCCTGGCACAATTAACATTATTACATGTTGTCCAAGTAAAATAAACAATGAAATAAAAATAACATAGTAATATTTTTAAGTCAAACAAAAAGTACAAAATTACTGTGTGCTACATCAGTGGTTATCATACTGTAGATGAAATTATATGAAAAGAATATAAAAATATATACAAATACATCTAGTGCTACAGGATCAGACTTTACCCCTGCCATCAGTCTTGCTTTTCATTTGCTCTTGTTTTTTTCTTGCCACTCTTATTTTTCATAATGTTCAGTTCTGTCTAGGTGTGTGCTGTGCTTTTTTGTACAAGTGATTACCCTAGTTTTCATACTGAATATCATAAGCAAGAGGTCCATTAATAGCAAAACCAAGGTAGAAAGAAACCTTTTCAGTGCTGAAGCCACTTCTTATACCAGCAACAAAAGCTGGGCGCACAGGGATTTTCAGTTTTCCATAATTGGCAAACACCTCTCCTTGCTCAATGGTTCCACTGACTCGATGAAGGCGGTTGATAATTGCTTTGTCTTTAAATATATCTCCATTCCGCCAAAGTTGTGCCAAGGTATCACGACGCATGTCTTTAAAATTCTCATCTAGTTGGGGTTTAGAAACAAGCCTCTTGAGTTCCGCTTCTTTCCCCAAGTAGAGGTGGGCAACAGTGCTCCTGTTTCTAAACAATGAAGTCAGGAACTTGCGAGATGAGTTTCGAATCGCCTTCACGTATGTCACAATTTCTGGGTTTTCCTGAGTGGGACTTGGCCAGAGTAACAGAAGAGCCAGGTAGTATGGGTCTGGGAAGGGATACCCAAGTCCTACATCTTGCAGAGTTTTCAAAAGGAGAACAGAGAGGTTGCTGTAACTCTTAACATGCTTAGATTTTGGTTTCAAAAGGTAAAGAACTATGTTTGACAAAATGTAGTTGATTGTTTCCTTTGTCTTTTGTTTTTTGTTGACAAATTGTTGTTGTTGTTGCAAGAATGCATAGCATTCTGTGATCCTCTCAATTTCTTGGGCATGTTTGTCCAAATGCTGAAGAATCCCGACGAATGTATCTGCTTGTTTCTCTTCAAGAAGCTGTCTTTTTTCTTCAATATCAATTTTCAAATTGAGATTAGGATTGTTCTGTCGTTCTTTTTTCTTTTCTTCTGGTGCGGTGCAAAAAAGAGTTAGATACCTTTTAAAATGTCCACACACAGTCCAACGATTCTTCGAATCAAATTCTGAATTGTTCCCTTTTATATATGTGAAGTAAAAGTCAAGGAGTTCAAATGTTTCTTTTACTTCAGTTTTCAAACTGACGAGAAAAGGCTCACGTTCTTTGATGATCTCCACATACCTGTTGTTGAGCTCATTGTCCGTCTTATACACCCTGGTGATTGGGATCACTCGCTTGAGAAAACTCTGGAAGTACTTCTTCTTTTGTGGATCACTTTCATCAAAGAATGGCAGTCTGCTCAATATCTCAAAGACCAGGAAAGCAATTTCCAGCACACCAACATAGCCATAAACATTATATGACTTCCTGGGATAGTCCTCTGACTCAACCTCAGCTGCTTCCTCGTCAGGTTCATCCTGTGTATTTGCCAGCTCTTGAGCCCTTTTAAAAGCTCTGATTGCATTATCTGCTATTTTGATGTTTGTGTCTAAGTCTTCTGGATTGTGTGATGTCTCCTGCTTTTCTCTGTGGATGTTAGTTTTTAAATTGCTTTTGTGGACTTGCCCAATTGTGTCAAATGTGTATGGGTTTTCTTTAATGTTCTTGGCCTTTTCAGCCCATTTCAGAGCCTCTGGGAAGTCACGTTCATTGATATACAGGTATCTCGCCAGTGCCTGAGGAATAGATGCACTTGTCACAAACCTGGATGATGCTTTTGCAAAGATTTCTTGGACAGTTTGTCTCCCTTGTTGGCTGTGGATTGTGTTTATGAGAGGAGAAAATGGTTCTCTCTCATCTCCATCTTTCTTGCGCTGCCTTTCAATCAACATTTGTTGAACTGACAGCATCAATCTGTGTTTAACAACTCCAGCACTGAAGAACAGATCACAGTGAAGAATTGCCGTAGCAATATCACTTATTTTTAAGTAGCAGCTCCTCTCTAACTCTTCCAGACATGCAGATGCAATGGAGTGATGAAGGATTCGGATTCCTTTGTATCCTCCCCATTCTTCAACCGTGTCCATGATTAGAAGGTTTGAATATGGCTTCATTCTGTCCAATACACTTTCCTCCTGCCAGCGAATCATTTTCATCCCAAAAAAGTCCTCACAGAGAGAGAGCGAGATTTCCGACTCTGCCACATATGTGTTAAGTAAGGCTAGAAAGGCAAAAAGTTGGGCCGCCTTTGTGCTGAAATCAAAGTTCTCTAGTGTGTTACGGGCGAGATCATCTACGTATTGTTTGTCGAAATTGCTCTTCATGATCATGAAGCTGTAAAAGTTCTCAGGCTTTTCATGAGTTTCTTTGAGCTCTTTAAGTTTCTTTTCAAACTCTTTCTGTTCTTCTTGTGTCAGTGAAGCAGTAATGTATTGACTTTGTGTTGGATTGAACTGTCTGTATTGCTCCTTTGGGCTATGGGATCGAACACAGTTAAGGATGATGACTTTGCAATTTTGTGTATCGTCCACATTTATGTTTAAGCTATCCTCTACACCAGCTTTATGTATCCAGTTCACAAGATCACGAGGAGTCTCCGTTTCTTTTGAATCGTCAACTAACAGCAAAACTGGAGATGGTTTCTCACTTTCAAGTTTCATGAGCATTCTGACTT